AAGTAGGGAAATCTCTGACTCTTCCATTGTTGCTGGATGTCATCTCCCATTAGCCCCAATCCATAGTAATAATAAATTATCTAGTTGTTCAGCATTATTTCAAGAGCCACAGAATGCCCAACCTTCCATGTTCATTTGTGTTAAATACTTTGTCAAAGTAGACAACATATTTTTGATAGTGATAAATACAGTACTATTCCATCAAAAATTATAAAACTGATTAGGAGACAAGATAGAATACTTTCTATTTTCACCCATTAATGTTGCTCAAAATCACAGATTGGAAGCATACTTGTTGGAAAGAGGGAAAATGTATGTGAATATTGTGTTTACAAACTGTTTTAGTGTGTGTGTGTTATATGTGACTAGATATATTTGCACACCTCTAATCTGCAAGTGATGCAGTCCTTGGGCCAAAATGTTGCACCTCCCTACCATAAAGTCTATTTATAAGATCGTGAGCTATAAAAGAAGTAATACATGAAACTCACTGCTACATCTTCTCTGGTTTGAGTCCAGAATATATCCATGCTTGCATTTACATACATAAGAGCCAGGAATGTTGATGCAGAAATGGTCACAACCGTGATGAGTTATACTACACATATGCTGGACTGGGGGAAAAAAGCAATACATAAGTTAACACAAAATGTGACTAAAAATCCAATTTATGAACACATAAGAATGTCTCCCCAAAATATCAACAGAACAGAAAATATGCATGTTAAAGTGATAAAACATGCATCAAAACTGATTTTACACTTTGTTAATGTATCTTGTAAGATTCATAAATCTGTACATTTTAGGCATAAATATCAATCAACAACTAAGCACTACACTTTCTTAGTGTAAGGGAACTAAGAACTGGGCTACACTTTCAGGAAAACAGCAGGATTTACTTAATTTATTATAAATATGTTTCCCAATTCCACGGACTAAATATTTTTTTTTAATTAAGCACCCATTTATGGTTTTCATTCCATTCATGTTGACTTTTCTTCCTTCCCATCACTATTTTCTTTATAATCCTTTTTCTATAGGTAGTTCTCAACTTATGATCATAATTGGGACCAGAATTTTTGTCATTAAGTGATACAGTTGTAAAGTGGGACATCATATGACCGCATCTTTTAGCAACTGCAATCCTTGCAATCCCCATTGCCATTGTTAACTGAGGATCCATCACAATTCAAGCTATTCCAGGCTTGGTCCCTCCCAATCCCAAGCCTCAATAAAGTAAGGGACTGCTTCCAACTCTCCTTACCCATCTCCTCCCTGCCTCTTTGTCCGCCTTGCACTCTGCCTGGTGGGACAGCAAGCAGCCCTCAAATCAATATTTCTAACAGTCTTTAAAATATATATTTAATACCTTACCACAAATTTTAGTTTGGAATACAGAAGTCAGTGATTCAATTTGGCTGAAGTTTGCAACCAGAAAAACATGGTCTTCATAAGGTTCACTCCCAATTGACTTTAGTGTGTTCATATCAACTCTTCCTACTCCAATAGCAAATATTAGAATTCCAGAATTTCGGGTTTTTGCTGCAATTTCTGCAACTGGATCCTGTGGTCTCCCATCTGTCACTATCATGATAACTCTAGGTACATTCTCCCTGAGTGGCCGAGCCCCTTCAGATTCTGAAAATGCAATGTTCATTGCATACTGAATAGCTAATCCTGTCATGGTTCCAGTGGCAAGATACATCATCCTTTTCACTGCTCTCTCTATATCCTGTTTCTTCTTAAAAGTCTTCAGTGAAAATTCATTTTTGACTGTGCTGGCGTATTGGATTAATCCCACTCTAGTTTTATCAAGACTAATGTCCAAAAATTGCAAGATGGTTAAGATAAATTCTTTCACTTTTTCAAAGTCATAAGGGCGAACGCTACGAGAGCTATCAATGATGAACACAAGGTCAAGACGTTTATTACTGCAAGCATTTTCTGGAATGAGAATTAAACAAGATAAAATTTATATAATCAGCTTTTTCTTCAAAAAAGAAGTGTCTAAAATTGTAAGAAATTTTATTTACAGGTAGAAAATATTAAAATATAAATATTAGTTCCACACAGGGTTTTTTCCACAAAAGTTTTAATATGGGTTATAGAACTGGAGTTGAACATTGTAAGCTAGTTTTTTTAAAAAAATAGATCTAACCAGTGGTATCTAAAGTTATAGCCAGTGATACATAGGGGTTTGTTCTTAAAAGCAACATTGCACCATCATTTATGTATTTTATGTACTATATGTTGTATTTTTAAGAAGTATTAGCTACATATTTCACCAATTTAATGAAGAAAGCCTATAAAGAATTTTCCTAGCCACATCACTAAGGAGCCAGTTATCTTCCATTTCTTATATAGTTTTCATGGCCTATAGATAAGCTTTCTCTTGAACAATATATTGTAAAAAAAAAATAAAGGAAAAAACATCTTGACAATATATACCTTTGTTTCTAGATTTTAATGTCTGATCTATATCTGTCATAATTTTTCTCTTTTTTTCTTAATGTGTGTATTATAATCACCATCATTGTGAATTATTGAGCCTAGCAAGATAAAGCCTTTTATTATTTTAGGTTTTTCTCTTCCTGTATCTATTGGGTTGATATTGACATAATTTTAATTGTTTTTAAATATGATGTAGAAAATCAGTTTCATTCTTATTTCAATTTCAACAATAGATCCATTAAAACTTAACTTGCTTTCAATTACAAAAGCAGCATCAGGGTGCCAAAGGTTGTATTTTTCCTATCAAGTTTAATTAAAATGTATATTTTTCCTAGATCAGTATTTCTCATAATATATTCTGCATGTAAACTAACAAATGAAGGTATAATCTTGATGTCTATAGAGATTCTTAATCATCCAGGTCATGTTGTAATATACAGTCTTCATACACTCTTTTCTTAATTCTGCACCATTTAATTGTTCTGCTCTAACTGTTGCTTCTTGATTGTCATTGCCCAGTATATTAAGGACTATCATCAATCTGTAGAATTCTGCTTGACAAAAGTAGTATAGGTAGTCCTCAATTTATTACTGTTCCCTTAACAAAGGTTCAAATTAACAACGATGTTGGAAAGACTGTTTTACCGCACTTCTGACCATCACAAAGCATCATGTGATCACCATTTGCAATCTTCTCTGCTAGCTTCCCAAGGAAGTCCATGGGGATGCCAGCAAGGAAAATGAAAACTGCCACCACCTGCCAGTTCCCTCTCATCTCTGGGGTTGGCTGAAAGAGCTCCCTACTAAATGACTTCAGCTCTGAAGCAGGCATGGCGCTGAAATCCTTTGGCAGGGAGCTCTTTCAGTCAGTCCCCAGAGATGAGAGGGAGCTGAAACCCAAACAAGATTTTCAGTCCCTCAGTAAAGAGGTAGCATGGTAAGGTAAAGAGCATGGAGTGCCTGAAAGAGGTAGGGGAGGTCCTCAGAGGCCTAGCACAAACTGCACACATCTTCTCACCCAGGGGCTAAAAATCCTTTTTAGATTTTGGCAGGAAGGATTTTCATCTCCTGAATGGAGAGGCAGGTAAGGAGCACAAGTGCCTCAGGGGAGTAGGAGAGCCCTTAGGAGCCCTGGCATAGGCCATGCACCAATGTCTCTCTGTTCAGAGACTGAACATTTTGCTTGGATTTCAGCAGGATTTTCAGCTCCTAAGCAAAGAGATACTCTTGTGTGAACTGTGGCGGATCTCCCCCATCCCCTTGCCTCTTCTTGCATTCTGTATCTGTTACATTCTGCTTTTCTTCAGCTATTTTCAATTTTTCATTAAAGCACAATTTTATTTTATTTTGTTTTTTGGGTGTTTGGATATTTTTGTTCACTTCATCTTCTCATAAATTTCAGTTCTCCAGGAATTCATTTCAATTCAGTTTTCCAGTTTTCTATATTTATCAAATCTAATCAATAAAATCTATTATTTACTTTCTATAATCATATGAACCATATTGTTAGTTGTGATGGTTTTGCTTTTATTAGTTTTAATTGTAATTCTACAAGAAGGAATTGCAACCAACTTATTATTTGCTGGGTGAATATAGTTTCTCCAGCTTTGTTTAGTCATTCTTGGATTGGTTTGATGTTACCCATCTGATGATGTCCATGTCCAGTTACTCTTTAAATAGCTGGAGAAAATATTGACTATAAACACTGCATTTTCTTGGCAGAACTGTATTAATTTGCCTCCTCTTAATTTCATATATAAGGCCAACATTTCCAACTGTTCATTTTAATTCACTAATACAAAGAATGTCTGTATATTTTCTTGATATTTCTGCTCTGACAGCATTAAATTTGCCTTGCTTTGATCCATTATATAAATGATGTGAATTATCACAAATGACATAGTAATGTAAAATTAATAATATCTGCTTCATCCAGATTATTTTAGATACAACATATCTATTAGAGGGACATCTGACAGAATTTTGATCCACTTCATTTGAGATTCACTAAATGGGTTGCATTAAATCTAGATTTCAAAAAGAAAAATTGGGTGAAGCAGGAAAAAATAGCTTTTATTTTGTAATTTGGAGACTAAACCTTTCCTGGGAATCAAGCATTTATTATGCATAAGCAATGGAAAGAGAAATTATGCATTATGTCATATAGTTAAGCTTCCAACAGAGATTTGTTATCCTAATTTACTTCAAGATACTATTACATATTTCAAAAATAATACAAATAGATAATTAATCTTACTGAGAGTAGTATTTTCCAATATGCATACTTCACTAGAAGCCCAAAAGTATAACTTACATACAGATGAACAAAACATTATCCTAGTATGACTTTTTAAATTATAGAATCTACTTCCGGAAAGAAATTTTGGTTGAAAAGGCAATGGAAGGAATGGAGGAAATTAAGTATTTTTCTGCCTATACTCCTGCTCTCAATTTTATTGTAAAACTAAGAGGAGAAAAGCTGTTTTGAGATATGGAAAAGAAAAACAATAGTAAAGAAAATGGTCAAGCACATTTTTTTATAAACTCAATGTTTTCTTCAGAAGTAGCTTTTATTTTAGATAAATATTATAGGAATGTATATGTAATATATAGTTTTGCCTTAATTTGATTAATCTAAATCCTAACTCTAATTTTATTATTTGCTATATCTTATTGATTTATTTCCAAACAAGTCACCAGTCCAATAAAATATCTAACTTCCCTTTCATTTGCTATTCCTTCTTCCACTGAAATAAGTTATTCCATACACACCCCAAGTCCCTATGCCTATCATCTATAACATTGGGAAGATTAAACTATACTATACACATTTCTTTGCTTTACAAACTCATGGCAACTTACCAAGAAAAGTAGCATCATTTCTTTGACTTAAAGGTGTTCTTGGAAGATGTCGCTCCCTGGCTGAAACAGGAAAAAGTCCAGCCAGCAAAAGGAAATATAAAATCATTCTTTTCATTTTCAAGAATAGGAAAGAATGGAGCAATAGGAATAATCAGGGCAGAAATCTGTAAGAAGATAAATTATGAATTTTCACCAAACCACTGATGCTAGAAGAACAAAATAACCCTTGTTTCTCATTGTCTTTTTAACATATATTCCAACCTAATAACGTTAGCAGAAACTTTAGAATGAATTAGAAAAATACTTTTCACAGATATTTGGGTACTCTGATCCTTTCATATCCCATTCATGGATGGGTCCATTTGATCTCATTAGGGAGATCCAGTCTTGAGCACTAAGTATATTCTGGAGACAACACCTAATATATTTCCAGAAAATATACTAGAAACCACTTTTAGGGACTCTTCACATGTTGGGAGGCTGATTGGCAGCACTGAAAAAAAAAGCACTCAATATCAGGCATTAATTGGGTTTCAATATTAGATAAAGCAGCAACAAATGCCACTGTTTCCATATGAGAGGCAAAAACTTTGTTGGAGAATCACGTCCTTAGGCCTGCTATGAAGATTTTTAAGTGAAATAAACCATTCTTCTTAAATGAGATAAGCGATACAAGGCTGTGGGAATGAGTGCTGTAAGTGGAAATATTTGAACGGTGCCAAGATCCCTTGAGGACAGTCTGGCAAGACTATCTGCTGGAGGCTGAGGGAAGACAATTCAAGGCTATAGCTTTAAAGGACATGGCAGCAAAGGAAGAGTTTGAGTTCTTTCCCCCAAATACCACCCACTCTCATTTGCCCCCTCTCCGCTTTAAATCTCCTATATTAAGGTTTCATTCAACCAGGTCCACTCTGCTCTGCTTCAGTCATAATATTCCCTGCCACTGCTTTCCTCTTGAACTTTTTCTTCTTCTTGGCATTTTCTCCCTTTCTCCCTTCTCCAAGCAGGTTTGATTTAAGGTATTGCGGGGGGGGGGGGGAACTGACCAGCGAGCCCATAAAACCTTTTCCCCTTCAGTGTAGGATTCATTTCGGGGTCTGATTTGCGCCTCCCCTATGCCGGGGTAACTAGCCGGATTTCTTTCTGTCACAGACAGCGGACACCCCCCCCCCCCGCTCCAACTCCCAGAAGTTGCCCCTTCAAGCCACAGGGAATCACATTTGCGGGAAAGCCAAGTCCCAACGCCAAGCAACGCGCTTAACTCCTTCAGACCGAGAAGGCGCCCGGGTCGAATAGGGCGCGAGTTGGCTCCAAAACGTCTTTTCCGCACCCTTCGCGCGTCTTTCTCTTACCTGCCGCGCAGGTGGGTCCGGCTCCCGAGGTGAGGCGACGACGAAACGAAACGCGGCCCGGTTGACTGCGCCTGCAGAGCCGGCGGCGCAATTCCTCCCCCGTCCCATCCAAAGAGAGGCGCTCAGCCCTTGTCTGTTTGCGCGAAGGGGAGGAGAGACGGCCGGAGGTCAAGCCCCGCCGCGCCGGGAGGCTCTGCGGAAGGGTAGCGGCCGCTACCTCAGGGAGCTGAAAAACGGGAGGAGAAGCAATTCCAGAACTGCGGCCTGGTATCCCTGCCTCTCTCTTATCTCCCGGCGGAGCAACTACTAAGCCCTGCTTTTTATTGAGGCTTCTGGATTTCTGCTGAGCCTGTCGGTTGTCGTCGAAGGGAGGTTTTCTCCCCTGCTCTTAGGCTGCGATCCCGCGATGCTAAGCCTTCTTTTGTTTATTTACTTCGTCTTCTTCAGAAAAATAATATCCAGACTTTTCTTCAAAAGGAAGCCAAGATTACTGGCAACCATGAAATACCAAGTGATATGAGATATAGGATTAATTTTTTTTGGGGGGGGGAAGGCAAAACTAAAGAAAAATCAGAAATTAAAAGGGGACCTCAGCTGTTCTGGATATATACCTCAGGAAGAAACAGTTTCTCAACTCAAGGCAAAGGCAGTGGAGGGATCCCCTGGACCTTGCATGGAAAGGGAAGGCTGCCACTATAAATACCTTGCTTCTTGATCCTCCTCATATCTGAGGGATCTGGAAGAGGCTTCCAGTTTGGACAGAGAATCTAGGAAGAGCATACTGAAAAAAGTGATCCTTGAGATGTCAACCTCCCAAGCCTATTATGTTTATTGTAGTTGCCTGTGTTCTATTGTTAGCAAATACTTTGGCTATCTCAGATGAAATACCATGTATTTATTTTAAATGATCTACCATTTAAAAAAAAACACAAAGCCGATTCTTCATTTTCTACTTTATTTATTCAGGTGCTCATATGGTGTGACAGTTCACTCTCAACCTCTTGGTGTTTTATAGCAGCAATTTCCCTTTGGGAAATATGTATAAGCACCATAGCTTTCTTTCAACATAATAGGTATAGTCTGAAATGTTTCTAGTTTACTTTACGATTAACATTAGGCTTAAATCCATGCAGGATTCTCCTGTTTCTTTACTTTTTTCTTCCCTGCTTCCCAATCTGTTGTCTAGCAAAACAAATGCCTCAATCTTTCTGTCCTCATAACTGCAGGAGGCAAGAAAGATGTCACCATCTATTCCCCTTGATCTCTGTGGTCAATGGCAGTGTAACATATCTCTCATATCTCCACTTCCATTAGGAAAATACTTTAGACACTCCTAGAAGAAAATACTACAAGAGGCACCACTGGCCTAATGGAGCCTCTCAGACTGGATAAGTGGTCACAATTTATTTTCTTGAAGGAGCATTTTCCAAGTGAGAACATGTTATGAGAGTGATGGAGATATCTACAGATTTCCTCTTTTCTCCTTTACTTTGCTTCCTTTATCCCCAATAAAGATTTAGTTCTCACATGCTAGTTCTAGAGTGAAGTTACAGTTTTTGCACCAAGAAGGATACTTCATCACTGAACTGGGCAGAAGACTCCTGTCTATAGAAACTAATTTTGAAGGTCATCTAAAACATAAGAAATATATTAACTGTATAGTTCCAAATATTTTTCTGGTCAATTATGAAACGTTTATAAGATTGCTTCTTGTCTCTCAAGAGACATTTAAGCATTTCCACAAATGAGGATTATATTGATTTTATTCTTTCTGCTCCAGCCATTCAGATGAAAAATAGTTTATTTTATTACATACATATACATATTACATTGAAGACTTGTAATGCTTGAGACTTTTAACAACTAAAATTTTGTATATATTGTGTGTATACACACACAGACACACACACACACACACACACATATATATATATATATAATTTTAGTTATTAAAACTCTAAAGCATTACAATCTTCAATGATACTGGGTTAACAAAATAATCTTGTTTCATGGATTTTAGTACTACTGTGCACGATAGATTTAGTACCAGTATCTACATTTCTTATTTGTAACCTTGAGTTACTAACACGTTAAATATTTTCCAATTTTGAAATGGGTTTGTGCTTTCACATGCATTCAGATATTAATTTTAAACTACAGATTACATATTTGCTCACAGATCCTTGTCAGAAATGTTATAGTTCTGAACCTGATAAAAATATTGTTTAGAAAATAACAGTCATATATATATATTAGTTTATTAACTATTTATAACCTATTGTTTGATAAGTTGGATAGCATTGGGGTTACTTTCTACAAATAGCACTTTTGTTTGCAGTAGCATCTTCAAAATACTACCTTGTCCTAAAAAGACAAGTGATTTCACTTTGGTGCACTTGTTTTAATAAATTTAAAATTTGGAAATGGTGATTCATAAGTAAAATTGTCTACTTGTGATCCTGAATTTTATCTTGTTTTTTTATTTTTTTTATGAAAAGGAGTTCTGCTAAAGTCTAACACTTTCCAATGAATAAATGTTGATAATATAAATGATAATGTCTTTCCTGTCTTTTCTTATATTGTATGTAGGTAGAGCTGTGGCTGCAAAAAACAGGCTGTTTGTATTGAAGCCAAGTGGTTCATAATTACTATATCCTACAATAATTATTAGTAGAATTTATCTGTAAGAAAAAAGAAAATAGTAGCAAGTGCATTCATTAAATAAAAGAGAAATGGAATTTATAATATTTATGAAAATATAAATATAAATAAAATTTTGAGACTAAGGAAACATTAAAATGGCTTAATCACAGGTAGCATTTTGTGTAAACTCATGAACTTACTAACCCAGTCAGTATTGGGGCAAGTGAGGATAATTTTGAACCAGAAGTATTGTTCAATTACTTCCATCTCATGACCTGATGAGCATTTTTTCTCTAGGATTGTTTCTTAGTAACTGCATCTTTGAGTTCAAAGCTTAGTTCATATCATCAGTCACAGTATTAAGTTCATCATGTCTTTTGTTAGCCTCTTTTTTTTTCTAAACATCAGGGTCTCTTCCATTTTAATTATTTCATCTGTACCTTCACTTTCAAGCATGTACAGTAGTCAACTTCACAAGATTTGGACCACCTTTATTCATATTTATTATAAACAATCTCTATTTTTCTTACTTTTCCTTCATTTAATATTCTATTATTTATCCTCCTTTAAATTCCAAGTTACATATGCCATGGCTGTCATCACATGATAGATACTGACCTTCACTTGTATGTATTTAATAAACAAAATCCTTTTTAAGAAGTGGGTGCAAGTCTTTGCTGAATCAATCAGGGTTATATCCCATGTTCCATAACAGGCAAAATGTTGATTTTTGTTTGAGGAAAGTTGAGGTAGAAGTATATTAATCAGCTAGGAAATAATGTTTTCTTTGCTTAATATATTAAACACGTATAGGAAATAAATGGAATTAGTCCATACATACAACCCACAGCTATTTAAAGGAAGGATAGAATTATACAATGAAGCAATTCAGAATAAGACTTCCCAACTTTTAATAGTCTGTGCCAAATATACAAATATACATCCAAGGAAAACAATTGTTTAAATGAGAAGGTTGGGTTAGAAATAATGCCAAGAATAATCCACAGTAATGGAAATATGAACTTGTTTACTACAAGGGATAAAAATTAAAATTGTTAACATTTGTTACAATACTAGATTATAGAATATTAAAAGAATAGTATAAGATAGCTGGGTAATA